CGATGAGTTTTGAGTAGTTTACCACAGAACTTCGGGTCCATAGTTATTAGCTAGATGGCTTCTTCTCTCTTTTTGGATCTCAATACCATGTTCCCCTCGATCTTCTTGGAGATCTATTCGATATAACTCTTTTTGCGGTGTGTTTGTCGAGATCCAATGAATTGTGGGTTTATGATCAAGTTTATCTATGAGAAATATTTGAATCTCCTCTGAATTCTTCTATGTGCGATTAAGTTATCTTTGCAAGTCTATTCGAATTATCAGTTTTGTTTGGCCTACTAGATTGATCTTTCTTGCAATGGGAGAAGTGCTTAGCTTTGGGTTCAATCTTGTGGTGTCCTTTCCCAGTGATAGCAGGGGCAGCAAGGCACGTATTGTATTGTTGCCATCGAGGATAAAGAGATGGGGATTATATCATATCGCATGAGTTTATCCCTCTACATCATGTCATCTTTCTTAATGCGTTACTCTGTTCTTTATGAACTTAATACTCTAGATGCATGCTGGATAGCGGTCGATGTGTGGAGTAATAGTAGTAGATGCAGGCAGGAGTGGGTCTACTTATCACGGACGTGATGCCTATATACATGATAATGCCTAGATAATCTCATAATTTTTCGCTTTTCTATCAATTGCTCGACAGTAATTTGTTCACCCACCGTAATACTTATGTTATCTTGAGAGAAGCCACTAGTGAAACCTATGGCCCCCGGGTCTATTTTTTTATCATATAAGCTTTCAATCTACTTTTATTTACATCTTTACTTTTCCAATCTATATTATAAAATACCAAAAATATATTTATCTTATCATACTATCTCTATCAGATCTCACTTTCGCAAGTGGCCGTGAAGGGATTGACAACCCCTTTAATGCGTTGGTTGCGAGTTCTTTATTTGTTTGTGTAGGTGCATGGGACTTTTGAGGAGCCTCCTACTGGATTGATACCTTGGTTCTCAAAAACCGAGGGAAATACTTACGCTACTATTGCTGGATCATCCTTTCCTCTTCAAGGAAAACCAACGCAAGCTCAAGACGTAGCAAGAAGGATTTCTGACACCGTTGCTGGGGAGGTCTTCGCTCAAGTCAAGACATACCAAGTACCCATCAAAAACTCATCTCCCTCGCATTTACATTATTTGCCATTTGCCTCTCGTTTTCCTCTCCCCCACTTCACCCTTGTCGTTTTATTCGCCGTCTCTTTTGCAATCTTCTCTTTCTTTCGCTTGCCTTTTCTGTGCCTGCTTGCCCTTATGGTTTGCCTAAGAACACCGACCTTCATCTTAGAAGGTTGGAAGAGATTGAATCAAACGTTAGAAGTTTTATGACTTTACAATTTGAGCATAATAATTTCTTTAGAAAAGAGCTTAAAGAACAAAAAAGTCTTTTGGGGTTTATGAACAAAGAGTTTGATGATATGTCTAAGGAATTTTATGGTTTGAACTCCCAAATTACTCGGCTTGAAAATTCTATAGCCCAAATTTCTTATAAGCAAGCTACCTTAGTCAATAAGATGGCTGCCAAACCAGAAAAGTTAGGTGAAAATAATGATGAAGATCTTAAAGTTATTGATGTGTCCCCTATTAGATCTTTGTTTTGCAATATGAATCTTAATAATGATGGGACTGGAGATGAGTCAACTTTAGTTAAAAGGCGTCCCAATGATTCGAAGTTTTTAGATCTTGATGCTAAATTTGGTAAAAGTGGGATAGGAGAGGTCAAGACTTTACATAGCATTGAACCCACTATCTTGGATTTCAAGGAATTTAATTATAATTGTTCTTTAGAAGATTGTATTTCCTTGTTGCAATCCGTTGTGAATTCTCCTCATGCTTATAGTCAAAATAAAGCTTTTACCAAACATATTGTTGATGCCTTGATGCAATCTTTTGATGAAAAAATTAATTTGGAAGTTTCTATACCTAGAAAACTTTATGATGAGTGGGAACCTAGTATAAAGATTAAAATTAAAGATCATGAATGTTTTGCTTTATGTGATTTGTGCTAGTGTTTCCACGATTCCAAAAACTTTATGTGATATTCTAGGTTTCCATGATCTTGATGATTGCTCTTTGAATTTGCACCTTGCGGATTCCACCATTAAAAAGCCAATGGGAAGGATCAATGATGTTCTCATTGTTTCAAATAGAAATTTGGTGCCCGTAGATTTTATCGTTTTTGATATAGATTGCAGTCTTTCTTGTCCTATTATTCTTGGTAGACCTTTCCTTGGAACGATTGGTGCGATTATTGATATGAAGGAAGGGAATATTAGATTCCAATTTCCATTAAGGAAAGGCATGGAGCACTTTCCAATAAAGAAAGTTAAATTACCTTATGAATCTATCATGCGAGCTACTTATGAATTGGATGCCAAAGATGGCACTACTTAGATCTATCCTCGCTTTTATGCCTAGCTAGGGGCGTTAAACGATAGCGCTAGTTGGGAGGCAACCCAATTTTATTTGTGTTTTTTGTTTTTGTTTCTGTTTAGCAATAAATTTTGCATCTACCTTCTGTTTAGATGTGTTTTTATGTTTTAATTAGTGTTTGTGCCAAGTAGAACCTATAGGATAACCTATGGTGATAGTTAATTTGATTCTGCTGAAAAACAGAAACTTTGCGTGCATGAAATTAGTTTTGTTAATTCACAGAAACGTGCTTTTGCATTGATTATTTTTTCTGTAGATCAATAGACAAATTTACCAGGACTTCCTATTTTGGTAGGATTTTTAGAGTTCCAAAAGTATTCGAGAGTTCCAGATTGCTACAGACTGTTCTGTTTTTGACAGATTCTGCCTTTCGTGTGTTGTTTGCTTATTTTGATGCATCCATGGCTAGTATTAAGTGGTATGAACCATAGAGAACTTGAAATACAGTAGATTTAACACCAATATAAATAAAGAATGAGTTCATTACAGTACCTTATGTGATGGTTTTTCTTTCTTTCACTAACGGAGCTTATGAGATTTCCTGTTGAGTTTTGTGTTGTGAAGTTTTCAAGTTTTGGGTAAAGATTTGATGGACTATGGAATAAGGAGTGGCAAGAGCCTAAGCTTGGGGATGCCCATGGAACCCCAAGATATTCAAGAATAGCCAAAAGCCTAAGCTTGGGGATGCCCCCGGAAGGCATCTCCTCTTTCGTCTTTGTTCATTGGTAACTTTACTTGGAGCTATATCTTTATTCGCCACATTGATATGTGTTTTGCTTGGAGCATCTTGTATTATATTAGTATTTTATTTTTAGTATTCCACAATTATCCTTGCTGTACACACCTTTTGGGAGAAGCCCACTTGATTAGAATTTATTAGAATATGCTATATGCTTCACTTATATCTTTTGAGCTAGATAGTTTTTGCTCTAGTGCTTCACTTATATTTTTTAGAGCGGCGGAGGATTAATTTGGAAGAAATTGTTGATCTCTCATGCTTCACTTATATTATTTTGAGAGTCTTTTAGAACAACATGGTATTTGCTATGGTTATGAATTTGGTCCTAGAATGACGAGCATCCAGGTTTGGTATAATAAAAAGTATCATAGAAAGTGCATTAAACACTAGGATCAGTTTGATGCTTGATAGTTGTTTTGAGATATCACTACTAGGGAAAATCCTATACACAGAATCTTACCAGCAGTGCGCTTTAAAATAACGCGCTGCCGCTACATAGTAGTAGCGCGCGCAGGATTAACTCACTGCTGAAATAAATATAGCAGTAGCGCGCCCGCTCTAAGACGCGCTACTGATATAATTCCCACGAGGCTGCCGCGAGGCTAGTTCTAGTAGCAGCGCGTTATCATGAAGAGTGCTACTGCTACCACTACTAGAAAAAGGGTTAAAGATGGGATGCACACTAATGGCGCACCAGGGAAGTAGTGCCCCACTACTATATACTAATGGCGCACCAGTTGGTGATGCACCCAGGGCCGGCTCTGGCCCAGGGCAGTAGGGGCGACGGCCTGGGGCCTAACCGAAATAGGGGCCCATATCTGGTATACAGTATGTACGTATGGGACATCATAGTAGAGGAAAAAAGGCCCATCTACCCAGGGCACATAGCTAGCCCAAGAAGGTAGCCAGCCACGCACGGAACGAAATCGTCCTGAATCGTTGTTTCCTTTTCTTTCCAGCGATTCTCGCCCTGATTCACGCACTGAACGGTTGCCGTCTCGTCCAGTCGTCCTGATCCAGTCCGGAGTCCCTGACCGGCCGAGGTCTGACTGCATCACTGAAATCCCTAGTTCCCTGATCACGTTGTGTACATCTTGGCAAGAAATTGTGGGAAAGATCAAGCTCAAGAGGTAATCTCAGATCAAAATTCTATTTCTATGAAACCATGGTGGGCGACTCTATTTTCTCGTGCTATATGTGCTTAGGCTAAAATCTCAATCCGGTGTCTGATTCTTTCTTTGCATCGCTCATAACTTGCAGCTGCATCCATTGGTAGTGTAACCATGTTGCCTAAAAAGCATCCATCTGGTCATCAGAAAAGAACTAACAAGAAACGAGTAGAGAAGTTGATTCGATCTCAGAGAGGGGCTATGAATAAATTCGTGTTGTGGAAGGATACTGATACGAATTCTGCGCAATTATATATCACCAATGGCGAACAACCAGATCAGACTGAGAATGCAGTTGGGGGAAATCGTGTCGATGTTGATGCCAATCAGAACACCCGAAATTTTAGTGGCCATGGAAACATAGATGAGCAGGCTTCTTCTTTTGATATTTATGATCCTAGAACTTGGAATATTCTTGACAATAAATCAAGAGATATTCTCATTGAAAAAGGACCTACAAGGGAGTACAATCTTGTGTTTCCCGTGGATAAGAAAGGCAGGCATTTTTCATATGCTTACTACTCAAGACAGCTAAGCAATGATGAGGCCAGTGATCGGAGGTGGTTAGTGTACTCTAAACATGTGAATAAAGTTTATTGTTTTTGCTGCAAATTGTTCAAATCTGAAAACAGCAAAAGTTTGCTAGCATCTGAGGGATTGATGGATTGGAAACATCTTAGTGAAAAGCTGAAATTACATGAGAACGGTGTTGAGCATATCACTAACATGAATACTTGGAATGAGGTAAGGTTGAGGCTAAGTAAGAAGGAAACAATTGATAGAGATTTGCAAGAAGAGATTGCAAGGGAGAAGAAGCGATGGAGACAAGTTTTAATTAGAATTGTTGCTGCTGTGAAATTTCTTGCTAAGCATAATTTGGCTTTTTGAGGAGCAAATGAGAAATTATATCAAGATAACAATGGGAACTTTTTGGGAGTAAAAGAAATGATGGCAGAATTTGATCCTGTAATGCAAGAGCATCTTCGGCACATTCAGAATAATGAAATCCATCATCATTATCTTGGCCATAATATTCAGAACGAGTTAATTTCCCGTCTTGCCTGTAGTGTTAAAGATTCTCTCTTGAAGATAATTAAGGATGCAAGGTATTTCTCTGTCATTTTAGACTGTACCCCTGATGTGAGCCATCAAGAACAAATGACTCTAATTGTGAGATGTGTAAACATGTCAAGTGCCAGTACAAAAATAGAGGAGTTTTTTCTAGAGTTCATGAAGGTCGATGATACGTCGGGACTTGGACTTTATAATGTGTTAATTGATACACTTGAATCTGTTGGTTTGAATGTCCAAGATGTTCGTGGACAAGGGTATGACAATGGTTCGAACATGAAGGGAAAAAACCAAGGGGTACAGAGCAGATTGCTAGCAACTAATCCAAGAGCATTGTACATGCCGTGTGCTTGTCACAGCCTGAATCTTACTCTCAGTGATATGGCAAAATCTTGCGGTAAAGCTATAACTTTCTTTGGTGTTGTGCAAAGAATTTACATATTGTTTTCAAGCTCTACTAAAAGATGGCAGCTATTGCTTGATCATGTTCCAAAAATGACAGTTAAGTCTTTGTGTAACACTCGATGGGAGAGTCGAATAAAGAGTGTTCATGCTATCAGATATCAAGCACCTGAGTTAAGAAAAGCTTTATTGGAATGGAGGAGAACTTCTACTGATGACGCCAAGACTAAGAGCGACGCAAAATCTTTGGCTAATGCACTTGAGAAATTTGAATTTATACTGGGCATGGTCATATGGCATGATGTTTTGTTCACTGTAAACATGGTGAGTAAGAAATTGCAGTCTAAATTCGTGTGTATTGATGTTACTCTTAAACAGATTGAAGGTGCCATCTCATATTTTGAGAAGTACAGAAATGAAGGATTTGCTAATAGCTTGGATATTGCAAGATCTATTGCAATCGACATGGGTGTATAGCCTTTATTTCCTGTAAAGCGGCGTATTACCAAAAAAAGACAATTTGATGAAATGAATGGCAATGAAGAAAATGACCAAAATCAAGAAGCGCAAGAAATTGAGGTGGAATCATTTAGAGTTAAATACTTTTTGGTGATGATTGATGTTGCTATTGCTTCCTTGACTAGTAGATTTGAGGAACTGAAGTCATTTGGGAGCATATTTGGATTCTTGTTCAACTCAAAAGAATTGAAGTTGTTGGGTGATAATGATCTAAGAAAATGTTGCACTAATTTTGTCAACACTTTCACTCATGGTAAGTCAGCAGATGTTGATTTAGATGATTTTGTTTCTGAACTAAAAGTGTTGCAGATGACATTGCCAAACACACTCATGTCAGCGGATCAGATATTTGAGTTTGTTAGAGCTGCGGATTGTTATCCAAATGTCTCAATTGCTTATCGTATCCTCTTGACTGTACCGGTCATTGTTGCATCAGCTGAAAGGAGTTTCTCAAAATTGAATTTGCTGAAAAATTATTTGAGGTCAACAATGTCCCAAGACAGACTGAATGGTTTGGCCATGTGCTGCATCGAGAAGAATATGTTGGACAATATTGATCTTGACATTGTCATTGATGATTTTGCGTCAAAAAATGCACGGAAGTCTCGCTTCTCATGATTACTGGAGGTTTGCTAGCATGCTATTTCTATATTCTTGTTTGCATTGTAGCTTCTATGATACTTGAGTTTGAACAAAGGCAAGAAAAAATATCAGATATATGATTCTAATGAAAATTTACTACTCTTTATGACATTATAATATATGTATTTGTTCGTGTATCGACCAAAAAAAATTCTTTGTTGGGCCATTGGTGAAGTTCGCCCCGGGGCCTTCGAAATCCTTGAGCCGGCCCTGGATGCGCCATTAGTGTGGAAGACACTAATGGTGCACCAGACAAAAGGTGCGCCACTAGTGATAATTTTTTTTCATTTTTACATACATACTAATGGCGCATCCGACCGAAGTGCGCCATTACTAGTTCTAACTAGTAATGGCGCACCAGCCACGGAGTGCGCCAGTACTGAATTTTTTTTATTCTTTTTTTTTGCAAAACTACTAATGGCGCACCGTATCACAGTGCGCCATTACTAGTTTAAACTAGTAATGGCGCACCTACTACAGGTGCGCC